ACCTATACATTTATGCTACATCTATTCAGGATTTTTGTATCCCTTCATTTTATCTCCATCTCTATGTCTTTTTTTTTTACTTCTTTGAATCCAAAACTTAATAATGAAAAAAAAAGATAGACAGCTATACACCTACCGTATTTCACAATAAACATCATTAGGTCAATGGTCGGAATCGATTTCTATTCGATCCGATTCGGTTCAGTTTTATCCACGATTTTTTTTGAAAAAAATAAGATATGTATGTGTTTAAAGTGTAACTATATGGATTTTCATATCTTCTTTCTTTTTTTTTATATCTCGCTACACTCAATTTATTTGTTGTCGTTACTGATCATGAACACATATATATTATATGAGCGTGAACGTTGATGATGAATGTTGGGAATTGTACACAGGATGGATACAAATGTAGCTGATTCGACGCATAAAAATAATAATAATAAAAAACGAATGAGAATTGGCCATATATTTTCTAACTTGTGGTGGTTATGGTGGTGGTGGCAGTACCATTGTATCTCATTCATGGGTATTGGTAGTGAAACAAAGACGAAAAAAAGGGGTAAAATTATGGTTTTGAAGAAGAAGAAGAAGAAAAAATATGTGGTTAATGGACATAAAGAATTGCGCATATCGATTGAATATTCGAATCTGCACACACACAAACACACAACCAACGATTGCATCATAATTTTTCTATATTTATTCGATGATGATGATGATTATTGACAATATAATCATACATTATTCAAGTAAAACAAAACAAAACAAAAATGGTGAAAAGAAAACATTCCAGAATGAGATGAAAATTCCAGAATAAAAAAAATTTGTTCTGTGTTGGTGGTGGAAATTCTTTTCGGCCAATGTAGGAATCATGAATTCGTTATTCATTCACACACACGGGAAAATGTACATGATGAACACAGCTGTTTATACAATGAAATTCTGTTGTTTTTGAAGAAAAAACTTTCTTCAGTTTATGTTCTGAATTGTGATGCAACTATGGAATATAGAATATTCCATTGACATTTATGATGATGAAATAAAATTTTTTTTGTTACAATAAATAGAATTATTCTTTGTTTCTTTTTACATTTTAAATATTCCTTAGATCAATGGCATTGTATAAAAACGGGAAAAATTTCTTGTGTCGATGTTCGGAATTTATTTATTCAATACAACAAACAAAGCACGGAAGAATTGATCGAACTTTTCTTTTTTTTCGGGTCGATAGCCTGTTGTGTTGTTGTTGTTGTGGTTGTCGTTGTAATATAACCAGAAAAGAAACCGTTGAACGATTCGGTTACGGACGGATTGAATGATGAAAAATAAAAAAAAAAAGAAAAAAAGAAATTCGAGTCTGCATGTCTTCATCTATATCTGTGAAAGTGATCCATCAGAGTGGCAAGAATTTTCGCATTTTTTTTTTTTGCTTGCTTGTGTGTGTGTGGGTTGTTGTTTTCATCTGTCTGGATTTTTTCGCTTTTTTTTTTTTTTGCTTTTTTTTTGGTCGGCTGATTTTGGTCGGTTCCAAGAATAATCGTGCCTACAACAATCGCCGAATACATGATTTCCAATTGGATCAAAATGTTTGTTTGTTTGTTTCGAATGAAATAAAATAGAATGCGGACGGAAGGAAAACGAATACAACGGACGGACGGACGGAAAAACAACAACAACAAATGTACCGACAGCTTTCAAAATAAATGAAAATTATATTGAAGAGAAAAAAAAAAAAAAGAAGAAGAAGAAGAAACAGAACAATCAATGATCAATCAAATGAAACAAGATCCAGAATTTTTTTGTTGTTGTTGTTGTTGTTTTCCACAGAATTTATCGAATGTTTTGAATGGGAAAAAAAATCAAATCAAATCATTCATCTGTGTGTGTGTCAAAGATAAACAATTTGACGATTCTGATTTCACTTTTGCATAGAATAGAGCCGAGAGAGAAAGAAAAATACCAAACGAATAATTGCAAGGTAATTTATTAGATGATGATGATAGTTTCTCTCTCTCGCTAAAATGTTTTTTTTTCGGTTGCTTTGAATGTTGTTGCTTGCTACATCTAATGTTGCACTTATACTTCATCATCATCATCATCATCATCGTCTTCTTTTTATGATTTTTTTTTGTCTCTCAAAGGAGAAAAAGAAATGGCTGTATCTGTCTATCGTATAATGGTGGTGGTCGTAATTTTTTTTTCCTCCATAATGTTGCTACAAAATGCAACAAAACAAAACACACAAAATGGATGCTTGTTCCTGTGTGGCAATCAGTAAAAAAAAATGATGAATGTGCACACACACACACACATAGAAATGGTTTTTGAAGGGGTAGAAATTAAAGAATCCAATATTTGTGAATAGGACCAATTTCAATTTTTTGGTTTCCATAAACACTGTGAACATTTTTTTTTATTCATTTCAAACCATTTTCCCATTATGAATATCGATTTTCATGTATGCAACAATGGGGAGTAAAAAAAGGTGGTATATATGAATAAACTGCGCTCTGATTCATACACGCCACACACACACACACACACAAATTCTGACACATTTATTGTATCGAGAAAAAAAACTTACACTCCAAGGGCTACAATTATTATTATTATTATTGTCCATTGTCCATTGTACGATTAAAGTTTTATATTAGAACTGAATGAATGAATGGATTCTAGTTGCCATTGCCAATGCTGGTTATATTGCCCATATATTCAATGGTACAATTTTTAATGGTTTTTTTGTGTTGCTTTGAAAAAAGGGCAATCAAATAAATGATTATGGCCAGAACACAGAGAAAAAATTGGTGCACAGACATACACGCACACACACACACACTGAGAGAAAAAACTAGATTTAGCTACAATTGTCTTTTTCTTTCAATCATCATCATCATCATCATCATTTATTTGTTTCCATTTTCCATTTAAAATTGACAACGAAAAAAAAAATTTTTTTTTTTGTTTTTTTTTTTCTCTGTTTTCCTTCTGGATTCAATTCATTTAGTTTCATTTTTCATTCTGGCTCAAAATATCCACTAAAGGCCATAAAAACGAAACTAAAATAAAAAAAAAACATTAAATTCATGCGACAACCGACAAATAAAACACGGAATTTTTGTAGCAGAATCATCATGGCCATCAGAATTATCAGAGTTTTTCTTTTGTCGTCATCATAAACAACGACAACGACAAATGAAACATGGTTTTTTGGTTTTTTGTAGAGCAAGAAAAAAAATTAATTTAATTTCATTATATAATAAACAACAACAAAAACAACACGAAATTCTCAAAGAATTGCTTTTGGTCGTTTTTTTTTTGATGATGATGAACCTTACCATCATCATTTCCTTAGCTTGTAATTATTTTGTATGGATACTGTAGCCATTTATTCTTCAACAAGAACAAAAAAAAAATTAAATCAACAGAAGCAATGGATGGATACATTGTGTGAGAAAATAAAAAACCTGTCTTTGTAGCCATAGAGAAAAATTTACTCACTCAATGGCCATATATTCCATCCATTAATGGATTAAATCCCATTGATGATGATGATGATGATTATAACCTACCCACCAACCTTTGACTCACACACACACACACACACTTTTTGGGTATTCACAATGCCCACCAGAATGCGGACACACGCACATTTATTTTATATTTTAATAATGGTGAAAAAGAAGAAAAAAAAATCTGAAAAAATCTGAAAAACCATTCAAAGCCATTTTGCTAATAATTCTTAATAAAAAAAAAAAAAAATTTTACCATTTCTCTGTGTTTCTGTGTGTGTGTGTTTGCGTGTGTTAATGATAACGATTATGATTTCAAATGAATTTGAGTTGAAGCAGAAACAAAATTGAAAGAAAGAAAGAAAGAAACTATATAATCAAAAATGCTACACATTATAAATGATGATGGTGTGTGTGTGTGTAGCATTTTTTTTTGTCTTTCTTTCATCATAATTTTTCCCATTCATTCATTGGATTCATTTTGGTTTCGTTTTTTAATTTCACTTTATTATTATTACCAGGAGAAATGTGAAAAATTTGCCTGCTTAAAGTCGTTTTTTATGTGTTTATGTTTATTCTGCTTCTGCTGCTGCTGCTGTTGCTGTATATCCATAAATTCTTGAATGTTATGTAAGTGGTTTTTTAAAATAAAAATGGAAATAAAAGTAGCAAATAAATAAATAAATGAGAGAGAGAGAGAGACAATATAATGTAACGAATATTCTGTGCAAAAGAAATGAGAAAAAAAAATTCGCTACAATTACATCATAGAGAGAGATCAATGGCATCTATCCGTGCACACGCATACATGAAAATGGAATGCAATTTTATTGATTTTGTTGCCGTTGTTGTTGTTGTTGATTATTTATAATAAAAACACATATAAAACAATAAATTTTTTGTTTTAGTAGTGGTTATAAAAACATCCAAAGAAACAATAAAAATTAATAATAATAAGGAAGTATAACATGTTTGAACATCATCAGTTGCCAATTTTAGCTATTCCAATTATCATATCGAACTGAATGGGGAATTTTTTTTTTTTTCGGACAGGATTCTTCCAAGCAGATGTGCTGCCACCATTATCATTTGTGCGTGTCAAATGTCAATCATCAGTGTCGTTTTGAAAAATTGCAGTGAAGTTTGCTTTTTTTTTGTTCAATGGTCAATGGTCAATGATCATTTGTGTATGGTAGTGTAGCATTTTGTTTTTTTTTTGCCTTCTCACACATATATGAAACTTGTGTAGTTTGGAAATTTAAATTTTTTTTCTATCTCATTTGATGTGATTGAAAAAATGTTCTCAATTACAATCGTCATTTATGAATTAATCAAATTTTTAAATCGTTGAATTTAATCATTATAATCAAATTGGATGCTGCCATCTGTTGATGAAGAATACTAATAATTTTTTTTTTAAATACATTGTTTATGAATGGACATGATGCTCTCTCGATTGATTCTTTTTTTTCAAAGTTCATGTGTTTCATGTGTTTTGGATCGATCCAATTATTCACCAAAAAAATTTTTTTTTCTCATTTGTCATTGTTTATTTTTGCTCGAGAATTTCGTCTTTTTTTCTGTTTGAAAAAAAATCATGAATGCACCACCATCATTTGAATCGTTTCTTTTGTTTAAAGGCGAAAAAAAGTATATATGCTGTGAATGTTTTTTCTCATCATTTGATTTTCTAATTTCTCTTCGTTTTTTTTTGTTTTCACCACGATATTCTAGAGTTACGATTGAAAAAGATACCAAAGTACCAAATGCTTGTCTTTTTACCGTATCGAAAGAAGATCATACACTTGGTAATTTAATTCGAATGTAAGATTTTCCTTTTTGCATTTTTTCTCCGCATTTTACGATAATTTAATTTTCCAACACACACCGTAGGCAACTGCTGAAAGATCCAAAAGTAATATTTGCCGGTTACAAAGTACCACATCCATTGCAACATGAATTTATATTGCGTATACAAACAACGGCAGATTATTCACCACAGGAAGCATTAATGAATGCAATCAAAGATTTAATTAGTGAAATGTCATTGTTGGAAGAACGTTTTCGTGTAAGTAAAGTATTCCATCATTATAATCGAAAGAATTATTTTCCATTCAAATTACTGATCGATATCGGTTTTTTTCCCATTTATTCAAGGAGGCAATTCGTGAACGTACAGAAGGTTATGATTAATATGATGAACATGATGCATATATGTTGCTGATTAATTGAAATCCATAAATCATTCTAACACATCTGTATCATAATCCATCCATCTATCCATTTTTTTTTTTTTTTTGAAATCATTCTGACCGTTTTTTCCAATATTCATCATATTAATCCATCTGAAGAAATGAAATGAAGAATTAAGAAAAAACCCCCCACTCCAATTATTATTTCATTATAATCGAATCCATGACGATTGTATAGATAAAAGTACTAATTGAATTTGAAAATTTTATCAAAGAAAATTAAAAACAAAATGATGACGACGACGATGAAAATTTTTTTTTTTAAATTTTTAAATTGGAATTTACGCTGGACACACACGTGTATGTCCATGATCTTGCCGCTAATCCGAATCATGTCCTTCAAAATGTGTGTGTGTGTGTGTGTGTGTGCGTTTGTATTTTAAATTCAAAAATCAAGATGATAGAAAAAGAGATAAAAAAACTGTTTTGTTGTTGTCGTCGTCGTTGTTGTTTGACTCCGTTGATGCCTATATACACACAATCATGATTTGACCGAATCGAATTGAAAATAAAAAGAAAAAAAATGAGAAAACAAAATTCAATTAATGGGCCATTAATTCAATTAAATTTACCTAATGGACAACGATAATAGCCATTGGATGATGATGATTATGACGAGGATGGAACCAGAAATGCTGATCGATTGATTTTAATGATGATGATGATGACGTGCAGCCATTCATTATAAAAATATGTTTATTATTTGGAATTTTCATTTATAATGATGATCATGATTAATTATTTTCTAGTTTGGCTTTGTCGCTTCACCACTGCCACCACACCATCAGCGAAATAAAAATGATGATGGAATGGAATTTGTGTGGGAATCAAACATAAATGACAAACACATATATACATAGGCAGTGTGTGTGTGTGTAGTGATGAAAAGAAAATTCTAACGTGAGAAACGGATATTCAAAGCGGATGGCTGTTGTTGTTGTTGTTGTTTGTGGTGGTGATGGTGGTGGTTGTGGTTGGGGGCATTTCCGTTTAATTTTGTTGTCAATTTGTATCCTATATATACACAACATTGTCATTGTGTGATTTGATAACCATCGAATCCTGTTCTGTTCTGTTCTGTGCTGGTTTTTTTTTTTTCGTTTAGCTCAATTTTTTTTTCAATTCAATTTGTCACCATTATTCAAATCTGATTCAGCTGTTGTCTGTTGTTTTTTGTTTTTGGCTGGCCAAATGAGTAAAATTTTTCCAGTCAAGTTCAGTTTAGAAAAAATTTTCAAATTTCCAAATTTCAGCCGCAATTCAATTTCAATTTTAAAATACAAAAAAAAATTTCAAAAATTTCACCTCTTTCAATGCCAAACCTTTTTTTTGCGCAGAAATTCAAAAAATAAAAAAAACACTTGTTGATTGTGTGCATGTGTGTGTTTTTTTTTGTTTTTACGTTCGATTCGATTCTCAGCACATCTGATCTCAGTTTTCATTTCTGTTTTGTTTCCATCAAAGAAAGGAATCAGTTTTTTGCTGGAAACAGAAAAATATTTTTTTCTTTGTAACTAATTCCAATCTTTTCATCTCGCTGTGTTCATCGTCATCATCATCAATCCATCGTTTCATTGGATTAATTGATTTGATTCGATTTCATTCCAGAAAAAAAACCACGACCAATCAATTAAATTATCGATAAAAAAAAAAAAAAATTTCAATTGAAAATTTGATTCGCATTATCACACACACACACAAAACAAACTTGCAAAGCTTGCATCTTTTTCATCATCATAATCATCGATTCACCACATTCAACAATTTTCATTTTTCTCTCTTTCTCGTTTTCTTGATTTTTTAAAACCAAAAAAAAATATCAATTTTAACACTGTGAATACAACACAACATCCACACATGATGACCATACACACACACAATGGTCAATCATTTTCTCCTGTTGAACATTGATTGTTGTTCTCTCTTTGTGTGTGGATTTTAATCATTTAGGTTTTTTCATTTCATTAGTTCCAATGAACTACAATCATCATCATCATCATCATTCATGGCCAAGTAATCAATGAGAAGAAGAAGAAAAAAAAACAACACGGATATCATCATCTGAGCGAATAAAAATTGGCCAAAAAATTTTTGAACTGTGATCATCATCATCATCATTTTTGTTACTGCCCATATTTTTTTCTGGTTTTTTTTCTCCCATTTGAAAAACGATACTGGAGATTCTCATCACAGTTATTATCTCTCCATCAACAATCAGACATCATCATCGATTCGCTCTACATTTTTTTTCTGGTCCAATCATCATCATCATCTGTTGTTGCACTTGTTGCACAGTTTGTTTGAAGGTCCAGTTTGTCTTGTTTTTTTTGGTTTTCTCTTTGTTTGTTAAATTTGATTGTAACGGTCGGTTGGTAGGTCATCATCAGTGGCTGTAATAATCGTCCTCGTTTTTCGGTCAGTCTCGTCATTCGTTTAACGACGACGTCGTCGAAAGAAATTATGTTCCTATATTGAATCTAAATTTCAAGTTTTCGAATTGAATAAATATCCAAAAAAAAAAATCGACTACGACGACGACAACGGAAAACTGTCCATAAACTTAACGATAAAAATATGCGTTTCACAAATGTTGTGATGTGGTCATTTTTGACCACATTTTTTATTTTATATTTAATCGCCATACGTTTAGTACGTGGTCAATTTTTACTATCGTCATCAACGTCAAGTGAACAGAAATTTGTCGATTTCAATTATCATAATCATGAATCAATGGAAACAATAATGCGTACATTTGCGCAAACATATCCAAAATTATGTAAACTATACAGTATTGGTAAATCTGTACAAGGTAATTTGTTAACAAACAATGATTTGAATCAATTTATTGATTATTGATTGTTTTTTTTGGTTCAAATTCTAGGCCGTGATCTATGGGTTTTGTTGATAACGAAAGATCCAGATGAAGATGTATTGTTGAAACCGAATGTTAAATATGTTGCCAATATGCATGGAAACGAGGTGATTGTGATTCTATTTGGAATTCTGGATTCTTCATTTCATTTCATTTTTTTGTTTGTTTGTTTGTTGCCAGGCTGTTGGACGTGAATTATTATTACATCTAATGGAACATTTATTGGCCAATTATGAAATTGATCCATATATAAAAAGTTTAGTGGACAATACAAGAATCCATCTGATGCCATCAATGAATCCGGATGGTTTTGAATTATCACGTGAAGGACAATGTCTTGGCGGTAATGGTCGTTTTAATATGCGTGGTATTGATTTGAATCGTAATTTTCCGGATAAATTTTCCTTACGTAATGAAAAAGAACAGGAAGAAGTGACGGCCATACGTCGTTGGCTACAAACAGTACCGTTTGTATTGTCAGCAAATTTACATGGTGGTGCATTAGTTGCTAGTTATCCATATGACAATACACCAGTGAATAGTTAGTTTTTGTTTGTTTTTTTGTTTCCAATGTCTGATGATCATTTTTTTTTATTTGTTTGTTTGTTTGTTACAGTGTTATCACGATGGAAATTATCATATGAACCATCATTAACACCTGATAATGATGTATTCAAACATTTGGCTGAAGTTTATTCATTCAATCATTTGACAATGCATCAAGGAAAACCATGTCCAGATGGATCGATTGATTCGTTTCCAAATGGTACAACTAATGGTGCTAAATGGTATCCATTTTCAGGTAAATTTTACTTGTAATCTTTACTTGTAATTTAAATTTACATCAATATATATCAACAGGTGGTATGCAAGATTATAATTATGTACACGGTTCTTGTATGGAAATAACATTGGAATTATCATGCTGTAAATATCCATCGCATATGAAATTGCCAGAATTTTGGCGACAAAACAAAATGGCTTTGATTGCCTATCTGAATGAAGTACATCGTGGTGTACGTGGCATTGTAACCGATACGGCCAACGGTACACCCATTTCAAATGTCGATATCCGCATTAAAGGACGTGATATACCATTTAAATCAACACAACGTGGTGAATTTTGGCGTTTACTATTGCCCGGTAGTTATGTATTGCAAGCAAAAGCAACTGGTTATCAACCGTTGGAGAAACCGTTCCATATTAATGATGGACAAATTACATATTTGAATATTGAATTAACACCATATGGACATCAGCAACAGGTATGATTCCATTTGATTGATTTAAATTATTGAAAGATCCAAAAAAACATTCAGTATAGCCATTACTAATACAACAACAACAACAACAAGCCAATAACCAAATAACCGCCACCACCACCATCACCACCACTACCGAATTGCCCAAATTTGAATCCTTGTTTGTAAACAATAAAACCACAACCACCACCACTACTTTCATTGCTAACATTACTTACATGACTAACAATCAATCAATTGTCAATGATGATGTTGTTGATGATGATGATAAAATTATTATGTCATCGTCTTCGTCATTGTTGTTGTCATCATCATCATCAAATCAATATAATAGATCAGTCGATATCATTGTTATTGTTTTTTCAATCATTTTTGATGATGATGATCTAGTTTCCTCGAAAACACACACGCACACGCACATTTCACATTTTCATTCATTCAAATAATTTAAAATACTTTTTTATTTGCATCAAATCAAATCAAATCAAATCAGTTGCCGTTAGTGAATAATCAACAACATTTGGATCAATTTGTTCATAATCATAATTCATTATCATCATCATCATCATCAATTTGGCCATCATCATTGATTGATCACTCAACGACAACATTGAGACCGGTGAATAATAATGGTGGTGGTGGTGGCATATGGTCCAATGGATGGAATTCACGCCGTTTTCAATCATTTATTTATCCAAATATGCCAAAACGTAATTCATTTCAACCACAACAACAGCCAACAACAACAACAATCATTACGATCACGAAGACCAACATTTACAGAATTAATGAATCAATTTACATCTAGCCAAGGCAATAATAATCGTCGTTTTACTATTTGGCCACGATCATGGAATTTGATCTCTAATTATAATAGCCATCATAGATCATCATCATCATCATCATCATCTGCTTGATTTTTTTTGGATTCTGATTCTAATTCTGATTTGTTGTTCTTGTTGTCTACGTCATAGCCGAATGATTTATGTTTTTTTTTCTTTAACTTTGTATGAAATGAAACTTTTTTTTTGTTACACAAAAAAAAACTTGACCATTGGTCAGTGAGCCATTTTATTATTATAAATAATCATCATCATCAAAAAAAAAAAAAATGGGATTTATTTTTAGTAACAAGAGAAAAAAAAATAGTTATAATTTGAAATATGAAAACGACGACGAAATTTATATACTTATCTTATGGTTCATCGAATTGTGTTTGACCATGTTTGTGAATGGTTTGCATTTCGTTTCGTTCGTTTGTTTCGTTTTTTTTTTCTTGGTTTCCACACTATGGTTAACATTTAGGACAATGTTTTTTCAAATCAAAAATTTAGCCAAAAATTTAGCCATTCGACGTGCATATAATTTCCGGTTGACTATTGTTGTCATTTGTTTTTGTTGTTGTTGTTGTTGACAGTTTCCTTTTTTTTCTCCACCATTTGTATTGAAAGTTTGTCTTTTTTTTTTTTGTTATTCGCTCTTAGATGGATGGATTTTTTTTCCATTCAATCGTTATGCAGAAAAAAATAAAATGAAAAATAAAAATAAACATTAGCAAACAAACAAACAAACAAAAAAATTGTCAATTTTTTTTGTTTGTTAATCGAAAAGTTCAAATCACACAAACACACATGTCGATATAGTATCGAATCATTGTTGAAATAGATTTTTTTTTTTTTTTTCTCGACCTCTGTATTTAGCTGTGATCAACCATCAATGATGATGATGATGATGATGATGGAACAATATACAGGAAATTAATCACTCTATGTGAAACGATTAATTGAAACGAATTTGGTACAATGAATTCATTCAATCATCAACAACAATGAATTCTGTGTTACACCCAATGGAAAAAACAATCGCGATTGTTTATTTTAAATGTGAAAATAGCCAGAATAAATTCATTCATTCATTCAAAAATTATTTGACCAGATCGAAGAAATGAAAAAAAAAAGAAAACAATGTTTCTTCGTTCTATATTGCGTGCAACACACAAACACACCATCATCATCATCATCATTACCATTGTTTATAAATCATCAAAAATATACACATATGTATAACACGGTCGGCTGATTTGAATCAAACCAAATAATAATCATAATCAAAAAATGTTCGTATGTATTGTATGCATGTGTGCAGTTTTTTTTCACGGATCAAATGTTGTTTGGATCCAATTAATTTGAATTATCAGAAAAAAAATTATGCTTTCTCTCTCTCTCTCTCTTCGTTCTAGCTCTCCATTTACTTACCTACTACAATCTGTAATATATTTACTATATAATGACGACAAACTTTTGCTGTTTTCTCTCTCTCTCTCTCTTTTTTGATAAATTTGGTTTCGGTATTGTCATTTTTTTTATATATTCAAAACGAAAAAATTTTCATCCATTTCATTGTTATTTTTTTTTTTTTTTTTTGATTGGCCAGAAACAATAACGTCTCTCAACAACGACCAAACGACCAAATACGACATTTTTTCTCCACCTTGTTAAGAAAATCAATGAAAGAAAAACGTAAAAATGACCAATTGATGAATAAAAAAAAACAAACTTGTCAACAGGTTGTTGTTCATCATCATTTTTGTTGATTGTTGGTCCAACGCACACATCAAAGACCTCGGTTCATGGACATTCATTCACATCAAACATACACATGATGATGACCGAAAAAACAACTGTTCCAACGAGGATTTTTATTTTGGATCAACGATTTCAATAATGATGATGAATACTAAATGAATATGAATAGAATATGTCAACATATTTCTTTTTGAACTTTTGACACAATGTTTTGTGTGTTGATTCTTTGTTTCTCCTGTTTTCATCATTCATATAACAACAACAACAACAACAGCAACAATCATCATCATCATCCATAATGTCAATTTCACCACTTGATTTTATTCTATTACAATTTGGTTCACCTGGTTATTATCTTGCATTTCTTGGTTTTCTTATCTGTTGTTTACAATTACCGATTGTGTTCACTGAATATTTATTCCGTTATTATAATTATGAACCACCACATCGTTGTCGTATTACCGCTGATGATATACGACGGTCACAACATCAGTGGAAAGATTTTAATGTACATAAAAATGAATGGTATCCAATTATCATACAACCACCATCAATACAACAACATCGATCCATAATGATGATGAATACATTTGTTGGATCGACAACCAATTCATCTAGTCATCAAATATTTGATCAATGTAATATATTTATTGATCCTGTACATCATTGGAAAGGTAAACAACCATGTCCAAATGGTTGGGAATATTGGTGGCCAAATGGACCGAAAAATTTAATCACCGAATTTAATTTGGTTTGTGAACAAAAACAATGGCTCACTATACTGACGAATGTCATTTGTTTAAGTGCATTATTCGGTGCAATAATATTCGGCATTATTGCCGATCGTTTTGGTCGTTGCCGAATGCTGAATTCAACTATTTATCTATTTGTTGCATCTGCTTTGTCTGTTTATTTTGTCGCAGATTTCATACAATTTTCCATTTTTTATAATTTACAAATTTTTTTCGTCAATGTAAGTTTGTTGGTTAAATATTTTTTTTTCCTGTAATTTATTAATTTTTCCCATCACAGGGTCTACAGATATCTGCATATGTTCTATTGTTGGAACTGTATCCAACACCATATCAATTGAAAGCCAATTTTATGTGGTTCATTTTTCATTCATTAGTATTGATATTAATATCAATATTAGTGTTTGCCATCAATGATTGGCGTTATATGCAATTAGCAATTGCTGTACCAAGTTTTGCATTCATCACCTATCTATTCGTATTACCATCATCACCGTTATGGCAAACAATTGTGCAACAGAATCAAAAAGCAGCCATAAAAACATTGAGACATTTTAGTAAATTCAATGATACAACCACTATTTCATTGAATCAAATTACACAACATGTACAGAATCTTTTCACATCAACATTGACTGCATGGATTCAGCCACCATATGAACAACAACAGCAGCAGCAACTTTTGAATGGTCGTCAATCGAATATCAGTGTTACACCATCACCGAAACATTCAATGACAATTGTAAAAACAACCAAACCAAGTTTATCAAGACCTGGACCAATTTTACGTTGGTTTCTACTGACGAATTTCTATCTTTTTTTTGTCATCACAATCATCAATTCTGAACTATTTGAACCACATGCATTGATTTTAAATCAAAATCCATATGTAAATACGATTTATAATTCATTAATTGATTTATCATTCATCATTGTTATATATCATCTTACAATATGGCAAGTTTCAAGATATTGAATTCATTTTTCATCAATTGTCTAATTTTATTTATAATTTAGGCTTGGAAGTCGTATTATTCAATCATTATTGTTCTTTTTGAATGGTCTGATGATCATTATATCGCTCATATCACGTGAATATCTAGCACATAAAAGTAAAGGTAAAATTTTCACAAATTGTTTCTCTATTTTTTGATTTTAATTAATCATGTCGCTTGAATCATGTAGCTGAAACATACAATTTTGATTATCGTTTACTATTATTACCACCGATCATTATGGTTATTGCACGTTCCATTGGTCGTACTATAGTGATTTTTATTTCATTTCATGCTGCAAAATCTATACCAACTAATATCAGGTATTTTGAAATTTTTAATTTTCATTTCAATTTTCTAAAAATGTGTTTTTTTGTTACAACAACAACAACAACAAGAGCTACCGGTATTGGCTGTTGTATGTTTTGGATACAAATATCTCGTATTAGTGTACCACATTTAATCGTATTGGCCAATTATTTACCATATAATGCACTTGAATGCATGTTTGGAATATTGGCCATTTGTAATGGTGGCCTTTCATTATTGTTTCCAAATTTAGAACAAAAACCATTGCCTAATACTTTGATTGATTTAGAAGAACGAAAATATTCATCATCATCATCAATGGCAACAACAACAATGGTATCATCAACATTTTCATTATCATCAAAACGTTATCCTAGTTATCGTGATTTAAAGACCTATACAAAAAGTCGATCAACCACTGCAAGTAGTAATGATATTTATATGATAGCCAACAATAACAACAACAATAATGGTGAATTATTTTCATCTCCGAATTCAAATTATAATACAATACGTTCATCACGTAAACGTTCATCAACCAAGAATAATGGTGGTCGTGAAATTTTAATACATGGAACGGATATACAAAATTCAAATTCATTATCAAGTTCAAATGGTCAAACAAATCGAACGGAAACCGAACGTACATCATTATCATCGACAGGTCACGATCGGATCGGTATGAATGATTCACCATCGAATTCATTTACAGCACAAATCACACAGCAGAATAATAATTCACGACCAAGTTATATACCATACAATGATGTTGATCCATTTATTCTGGAACTAAATAGCAGGCTTCAACAACATGAAGTCTGATGGACATTGAAGTAATTTGATAATACCTGTATAATAATTTAATTTTATTCTTTTGTTTTATTTTTCTTGATTAAAAGAATTATTGATTTATAACACAAAAAAGATTCTGTATCAAAATAAGAATTTTTACCTTGGAAACTTTCTGAGAAAAATTTTTACATAAACAGTTGGAAAACTTTCCAAGGAAAAAATTTATTTTACTCACCACATGGTTGATTGTGTGGATTCTTTTTTTTTTTTGGTTTTTTTTTGATATTAAAAATTTCAATCATCATTTTAACCGTGTAAAAAATGCGTGTTGAAAAATGTTATTTTTGTTCATCGCCCCTTTATCCGGGTCATGGTATTCAATTTGTACGCAATGATTGTAAGGTAAGCAATCTGTTTTATTAGTTGACAAACCAAAATCCAAAAATCACTCAAAATTCTTTCGCAAACAACAACTAGGTATTCAAATTTTGTCAATCAAAATGTCATAAAAATTTCAAACATAAATGTAATCCACGACGAAAACGATGGACAAAATCATTTCGTAAATCGAATGGTAAAGAATTGGCCATTGATTCGACGTTTGAATTTGAGAAACGACGAAATGTTCCTGTTAAATATTCACGTGAATTATGGTCCAAAACATTGGAAGCAATGAAACAGGTGGATCAAATCCGTCTGAAACGTGAATCACATTTTATTAGACAACGACAAATGAAAGCAACAATGTTTGAACGTGAAAAAGATCGTCGTGAAGTAACACGTGATATTGCATTAATACGTTCGGCTAATGCTGGATTACGAATACCGAAAAAATCCAAAGTTAAAGTGATTAAAAGTACCGATATTGAAGATGATGAAATGTTGTTAGATGAACAAGAACGACCACAACAATTGGCATCTGATGATGAAGATGAAGAAATGGAAAGCGAAGATGAACAACAACAGCAACAACAAGCCATATTAAATGAATCATAAAATGAAACCTTATCAAACATTGCATAGGAAGAACGTAATTTTCATCTCAGTTATTTTGTTTCAATTCATTAATCATAAACTTTTCAATAAAAAAAAAAAGAAAATTCATTTTTTCTGGACAGAAAAAAACCGGTAAATTATTTAGAAATGCCCAACACTAGATGGCGTTAATTTCGACAAAATTTTATTCACTTGAATAACCAAAAAAAAAAAAATTACACACACCGACAGACAATCGATTAGTCAATCACATATCATATATGACAAAATTGAATTTTTTTCACTTCTGAATAATAATCGATTATCGATTATTGATTGATTGATTGATTGATCTAGTCGATAATCGATACGATCAATCAATCAGAACCAGTTGAATAATAAAAAAAAAAAATTCAGAATTTAAATTCTGAATTTTTTCATTTCTTGGTTTTTCATACTAATCGCCTACAATTCTCCAGTGAGAACGACAACCTACGGGTTAAAATGAAAATTTTTTTTTTCGATTACAAAGCCCGTTCACCGGCACATATTTCATTTGGCTTCTACTTTTTATTCTGGATAATTTCTTCTCTATTCAATTTTGTATGTGTGTGTGTGTGCATGGCCATATTTTTCTATTCCATCACATCATCATTATGTATAGTGTAATCTATAGAATTCATTCGAATGATTCCTGCAGAATTTATCCAAAAAAAAAACACTACAAAAGCGACAATAATGAACAGCAGCGACGAATAATAACAATGATGATGATTCTCATTACAAATGGGCAAATTTTTTTTTCCACAAAAATGAAAGAGATAGAAAATTGTTGTTGTTGTTTTCATTTCATTTCAATTCAATTCATTTTTTTTTCTCATTCCAAAAAAATTTTCATCAAATTTGACAGCTGGAAGTGGTGTGGCTTGGTGGTAATAGTGGTCACACATATACACATATATACCCGCGTCGTCGTCGTCGTCGTTTTTTATATAGATAACACACACACACGACAAAACAAACGAAATGGCGCCAAATTCATTAGAAATTGAAAGAAAAAAAATTTTTTTTCTTGAACATGTGCCGTTTAGGTTTGGCTGTTGTTTTTGTTTGTTTGTTTTTTTTCGATGTAAACCTAGATCCAAAGAATCCTGGGATGAATGTGTGTTGTTGTTGATTTTACGGTATCCCCGTAATAGTATTACCGTGAAAACAACAACAACAACAAATGTGTGCGTATGCGTGTATACCGGCAGTTCTTTGTAATTCTTTTCATTATCAGAATAACTGTGAAGAAAAAAAAAAATACCGCTACTACAGAATATTAGATTTTTTTTTTTTGTTAGAGGTGGGAGAAGCAGACATGATAAATTGACAAATTTTTTTTTCTTTCTTTCTTTTTCATTCGCAAGTTTTGATTTTTGCTCTTTTGCTCTTTTTCGCCTGTGATGTGAAAGTTTTCTTTTTTTTCTTTTCGTTTTGTTGTTGTTGTTGTTGTTGTTGTCGATTGTTTTGTTGTTTTCACGTTGGATTAATTTTCACGCATGAATCTATAGGCTAGAATTCAGTTTTCTGGATCAATACATCAATTGATTTGGAAAAATACCGGTGGAAAGCAAAAAGCAAAAAAATAGAAAGAAAGAGTTAAATTAATTTGATTCAACACGTGCTATGTGTCAATTGATCATCAATATTTTTCAATGTCAACTTTTTTTTCCGGGGAGGGGGTGGTAGTGGTGGTGGTTTCTTTCGATTGTCAAATTTGAATGAAAATGTTGTATTATTTTTAATGCGGTAACAGCAACAGTTAATGAGATAGCGCTAGTGTGCAGTAAATTTTTTTTTTTGCGGAAAAAAACGGCGTCTTGTTGTCCTTGGATGTTTTTTTTCGGTTGTTGCTGCTGCTGCTGCCGCTGCTTATGAATGGTTTCATCAATGGCTGTTGAATGTAATGAAATGTACGTCAAGCGAGATATATTTATTATTATTATTATTGATGATGATGATAATCGAATCATCAGTTATATTGATGTTTCTCTTTCTCTCACTTGCACTATAGCATCATCATCATCATCATCATATTGATGATGATTGCAAAAGAAAAAAAAATGTGACAAACTTTGGAATAATAAGAAATTGCAACACACACACACACATCCAATGTGTTGATTTTATTGAATTCAATTTTCAATTGATAAATTAGTTCTATTCATCAAAAAAAATGATTCGATTCTATTTCCACCTAATCATCATCAGTCAGATTCTTTTATTATTCTCATTTTGCTTCAGGTGATGAATAAACAACAATGCTGTCACAATAGTGATTCAACACATCTGTTTCTGGTTTAGGGCCAAATTCGATGCCAATTCAATTTGGGTTTTTTTATTCTTTCATTTTTTTTTTTTTTTTTTTTGATTTGAATAGAAATCAAAATCGAAATAAAATCCCAGATAATTGAAACACACAAACACATACAGACAGAAAGAAAAAATTGTTGTTGTTGTTCTGGTTGGATTATTTCATTTTCACGCATGAATCTCATAGGCTAGAATTCAGTTTTCTGGATCAATACATCAATTGATTTGGAAAAATACCGGTGGAAAGCAAAAAGCAAAAAAAAAAAAATAGAAAGAAAGAGTTAAATTAATTTGATTCAACACGTGCTATGTGTCAATTGATCATCAATATTTTTCAATGTCAACTTTTTTTTTTGGGGAGGGGGTGGTAGTGGTGGTGGTGGTTTCTTTCGATTGTCAAATTTGAATGAAAATGTTGTATTATTTTTAATGCGGTAACAGCAACAGTTAATGAGATAGCGCTAGTGTGCAGTAAATTTTTTTTTGCGAAAAAAAAACGGCGTCTTGTTGTCCTTGGATGTTTTTTTTCGGTTGCTGCTGCTGCTGCTGCTGAATGGTTTCATCAATGGCTGTTGAATGTAATGAAATGTACGTCAAGCGAGATATATTTATTATTATTGATGATGATGATAATCGAATCATCAGTTATATTGATGTTTCTCTTTCTCTCACTTGCACTATAGCATCATATTGATGATGATGATTGCAAAAGAAAAAAAAATGTGACAAACTTTGGAATAATAAGAAATTGCAACACACACACACATCCAATGTGTTGATTTTATTGAATTCAATTTTCAATTGATAAATTAGTTCTATTCATCAAAAAAAATGATTCGATTCTATTTCCACCTAATCATCATCAGTCAGATTCTTTTATTATTCTCATTTTGCTTCAGGTGATGAATAAACAACAATGCTGTCACAATAGTGATTCAACACATTTGTTTCTGGTTTAGGGCCAAATTCGATGTCAATTCAATCTGGGTTTTTTTTATTCTTTCATTTTTTTTTTTTTTGATTTGAATAAAAATCAAAATCGAAATAAAATCCCAGATAATTGAAACACACAAACACATACAGACAGAGAAAAAAAATTGTCCTTACATAATACGAAACGCATGCGTGTGAAAAATAAAATAATTTTCTGGATTAACTTTTCATTTCACTAAAATTCTTGTGATTAGAGATTTTTTCTAAATTCCATGATTATAATGAACTTTCATTTCATTTTTTTTAATACGACCACCATGATTCACATTTTGCGTCAATAATTCCAATCCAGAATTTTTCTTTTTCTTTTAGCACACTATTTACACACACACACACACTTGACATGTGCCATGATATTTATTGCCAAAACAAATATTCTGTTCTGTATACGGTTAATGAATTCTTGTTGTTGTTGTTGTTTTTGTTTGGTGCAAATATGTGTTTGTGTGTCGTCGTCTTCGTTATCGTGTGTTGGATCTATATAACGGTGCGATCAGATCTCATCAGATTCTAGATTCTTTGAGCCATTTTTTTTTTTTTTTTTGCTTTGCATGAATCAATACCAACAAAACAACTATACAGGGCAATCAATCTATTGATCAATGAATTTTATCGATTTTTTTTCGCTTTGATTGATTCAAAATTTTTTTTTTTCAAAAAATTTTAATTTTTCACTTTGAAATCGATGCGCATGTACCAATTTGTGCGTGTGTGTGTGTGTGTGTGTCGAAAACCACATGTAGATTTTGAATAAAAAAATTTTTCAAAAAAACAAAACAACCATTTGGAGGAATCAATCGATCGTGTTGAAAATGGACATCATCATCATCTTCAACATTGAATTTGTTGCCTATTCCATAAAACACAAACACACACTGGATGACTACTGCTGCTGCTGCTGGTGGTGGCTAAAAAAATGGACAAATGAAAATAGCCAAACAACAACAACAACAACAGCAGCAGCAGCAGCAGTCGATAACCTTTTTTCTCTCTTTCTCTCTCTCTTCAAATCAATTTTCAGGATTTATTATTTGCTTCGAAATTGCATCTTTGTTTTTTTTTTCTTTTACTCTTCATCCATCATCCTTTTTTTTCATCATCATCATTCAATTTGAATTTTCTTGACTTTTTTTTCTTCTTCTTCTTGATGAACATTGAGTATTTTACGGGTCAAATATACAGATTTTGGAACGCATGCGTATTTTTTTCACAAAAAACAACAGAACTTTTGGATAAAGATTTTTTTTTCTTTAGTCCTGACTTTTTTTTATTATTTACAAGCTAGCGGTTTGTTTTTTTTTTTTGTTATCGAACCAAAGACATCGAATGAGAGAAAAAGAGAAAAAACAAAGATGCAATTTCGAAGCAAATATAAATCCCATATTGTGTGTGTGTGTGTGTGGTAGTGGTGATTGTGGTTGTGGCGTCATCATATATAAAAATCAACGGGCGTACAACGAACCAAGAAAAATAGAAAAAAAAAAAGAAGTTTATAAGTTCAGCATCGAAGGTCCAGGTCGTTCATTGACGGGGCAAGTTGATGGGTCATTGACGGTTGATGTTTATTTTATATGATGATGGTTATATTCTATTCTATATGTGTGGATATATAATCATCATCAAATACGCATGTCATTGGAAAAAATTTTGAAAAATGATGATGATTCTGGTTTCACATTCTGGTTTCATTATCATTTTTTTTCCATTGTTTGTTGAATCTGATGAATTTCATACAGACAATCAAAAAAAAAATCACGTGTTTGCAATGAACAAAAAGG